GGAACATACTAGGCAAGCACTCTAGCCTTGAGTCACACCTGCAGTCCATTTGTTTTTGAGACACGGCCTCCTGACTTTTCAGACTGGACTCAAATTTGGGGTCCTCCTGCCACCTACCTGGGATTACAGACATGCACCCCCAAGGACTTCTCTTTCAAATATACCCATACTAAGATTATAGTATCTACTTACAGTCATTTCTTTTTTTGTTTGTTTGGTTTTCGTTTTTGCAGTGCTGGGTTCAAATCCAGGGCTTCTACCTTCCCAGCCCCGCCCCCAGATAAGGTCTCACTATGTTGTCCAGACGGGTTTTAAACTCTTGGATTCAAGTTAACTTCTTGCCTCAGTCTCCTGTGCTGGGATTATAGTGTATGCCACCATTCCTGGCTGTGACAATAACTTCTTAGTAATCGAATATTCAGTCAGTATTCAAATTTCTCAGTGTCTCATAAATTTTATTTTAATGGTTTGTTTGAATCAGGATCCAAGTAAGGTGTACATATTATATGACTGATACATCTTTTATATTTTTTAATCTATAAAGTTCACTTCCAGTCTTCTTTTTCTCTTATTTTTTGCCTTGCAATTTATATTTTGAAGAAATGAGGTCCTTTATCCTCTGTGGCAGTTCTACAGTCTAGATTTGCTGGTGATACTCTTCAGGTGTTTAACATTTCCTACCTCCCCCTTTATTAATTTGATGGTTAGTTTTAAATGCTTGGTTGGTGTTATGGGTTGAATGTTTGTTCCCCCCTCCCATTCATATCTTGAAGTCTAATCTCTAATTTGATGGCATCGGAAGGTGGTTTCATTGTGAAGTGATTAAGTCACTGGTTCAGAGCCCCAGAGCAACTAGTGAGCTGCTGGCTCTGCCATACAAGGGAGAAGCTGTCTTGTCTGCTGCCCACAAGAGGCCCTCACCAGATCCCAGCCATGCCCAGACTGATCTCAGACTTCCCGCCTCCGGAACTGCAGGAAATAAGCTTATTATCTATAAGCAGCTCATTCTTCTGCACCATGAGGTCAGGGTCTTTTCTTTACAGGGGCTCCTTTCCTCAGGAACACAGACCATTTGGTTGCCTCTTGTGACACTAGTAGCTACAGAGAACCAGTGCCTAGAGTTTCCTTACAGAGCAAGTTCTAGAACTTGGCTTTTTGGTTGTGAGGGAAAAAAGAAAAATGGGTTTCCTTGTGATGATTCTAAAGTCTCAGTGACTGTGTCGCATAGAAGTGCAGCCTGGCTCACTGAACTGGTGTGTGGCCTGCTTTTTCTGGGGTGGATGCACTGTCTTTTTGGATGGATGAGTTCCTCAGAGCACTGGTCCACTCCTTACAGGGACTGCAGTGCCACACAATGCCTTGTAGGAAGCTAGGGAGGACTCAGAATTCTCCTACACCTCTGAAAGACTTCCAGGATATGTTGAGATTAATAGAAGTAAAAATATTAATCACTGGAAGAGGAGCTACTTTAAAGAGGGTGAATTTTTAAAGTGTAAATTACTTACACAAGGGGGTTTCATTGTGATATTTCCATGTGTGTATATAATGCACTTTGACCAAATTCGCCCCCCAATTACTCTTTCTTAACCCCTTCCTCCCAGCCCCCCCAACAGTTTTTAGTGAGTTTCACTGTGCTATTTTCATTCATTTACGATGTACATCCTTCCTACCCACCCCCTAAGAGGGTGGCTTTGGAGCAGTACATTTAAGCATTTGAACTGCCCTGTTTGAGAAAATATGTGTGTGGGGTTGGCACAGGTTAGATGGCTTCCAACATATGATGTCAGGTAAGGGACAGACGTGGATGTGGTTAAAACCCCACGTACTGAAAGTGTACTACCAAGTTTTTTGGTTTTTGTTTTTTAGTTCAAAAAGTATAGTACCAAGTTTTGACACCTGACGCCTGCCTAACCACCCTTTCACCTTGTGCAGTTTACACAACCAATTTGTGATTTAGTTTATACACCTAAAAATGAGGCGAGCACAGTAGCACCGACTCCTTGGGTTTGTTGTACAAGTGACGTGAGTTGGTACGTGTGACCCAGGCACACGACGAGCACTTGCTAAGTTAGTGCTTAAGGATATGAGGACAGTTTTATTTTTTGGAGCTGTGTTCCTGTAACCTGTGACTGGTGTCCGTGTGTGGGTTTTGGTACTCACTGTGCCAGTCTGTGACCCTACAGAAACAGACAGGAGGGTTGTGCCTCTGGACTCTTCAAGCATCTCAACCCAGAGGTATATCAGAGCCATGAGGACTTTAGGAGAACTATGACACAACACAGTCCTAGGATTAAAGACACCTGTAATTTCACATAGGGTCCCTTGCCATTCTTGGGCCTGGTTGCGAATCTATAAATAAATAAATATAGCCAGCTTCTGTGGCTCACGCCTATAATCCTAACTACCCGGGAGGCAGAGATCAGGAGGATTGCGGTTTGAAGCCAGCCTATCTAAAAAATATCCAGAAAAAAAGGGCTGGTGGAGTGGCCCAAGGTGGAGGTACTGAGTTAAAACCCCAGTACTGCTCCCCTATCCCTCCCAAAAAGACATTTATTCTCTCACGGCTCTGAAGGCCAGGAGTCTGAAATTAAAATGTTGACAGGGTCACATGGCTTCCAGACACTGTAGGGGGAAATCCATTCCTCGCCTTTTCCAGCTTCTGGTGGCTGTTGGCATTTCTCAGTGTCCCTCGGCTTGCATCACAGCCTTGTTCAATCGGTGCCTCCGTTCTCACACCACTTTCTCCTGTGTCTTTTTTCTATCTGTTTCCAATCTCCCCTGCCTTTTTCTTTCTTTTTTTTGGCGGCACTGGGGTTTGAACTCAGGGCCTCATGCCTGCTAGGCAGGCACTCTTACCGCTTGAGCCACTCCTTTTGTAATGGGTATTTTTAAGATAAATTCTTCTGAACTATTTGCCTGGGGCTGGCTTTGATCCACCATTCCTCCTCCCCACCCCCACCCTATCTCTGCCTCCTGAGTAGCTAAGATTAGAGATAGGAGCCACCAGGGCCCAGCTTCCCTTACCTTTTTTTCTTTTCTGTTTTTGGTGACACTGAGGTTTGAACTCAGGGCCTCATGCTTGCTAGGCAGGTGCTCTTACTGCTTGAGCCACTCCTCCAGCCCTTCCCCTACCTTTTTCTTAAAAAGACCCTTGCCATTGGATTGAGGGCCTGCCTAGATAATCCAGGGTGGTCTTTTTGAGATCCTTATTATACCAAAGCTGCTTTTTCTAAATAAGGTAATAATCTCAGTTTCTGGGAATTAGGAGGACACTTTTTTTTTGTTACTAAGGTTTGAACTCAAGGCCTCAAGCTTGCTAGTCAAACACTGTACTACTTTAATCCACCTCTAGTCCTCTTTGCTTTTAGGGTTTCTTTTTTTGTTTTTATTTATTTATTTATTTATTTGCAGTACTGGGGTTTGAACTCAGGGCCTACACCTTGAGCCAATCTAGCACCCCTTTTTTGTGATGAGTTTTTTTGAGATAGTCTTGCAAACTCTTTGCCCTGGTTGGCTACGAACTGTGATCTTCCTGATCTTTGCCTTCTGAGTAGCTAGGATTATAGGCGTGAGCCACCAGCATCAAGCATGGTTTGTTTTTTGGATTGGTCTCACGCTTTCGCCCTGGGATAGTCTCTGACCTCAGTCTTCTTACTTCCATCTCCCACGTAGTTAGGATTACAAGCGTGCACCACTGCACCAGGCCTTCGAAGGGCATCTTTCAACCCTCTTCACTAAGTGGAAACAAAATGTTGATCTCCGTAGCCTCCAGCAGCATACCACTGATTGTCCTGTGCAGAGAAGTGTTTTAGTCCTATTGGCATGAGTGCAGAGTTAGAAGAGGAAAATGTGCTGGTTAAGCGGAAGCATACTCATGAGGTGTAGTGTCTTCCCTGGTGTGTATACTATGGCATAGCTGTCAGTGCACAGTGCAGGCCTACTGCTCCTTATCATCAAGGTCAAATTCTTCAGGGTCCTCACGAACACTCACAGGTCCCTGGGCACTTGGTTGGGGCAGGCAGTAGGACAGATGTACTGTTTGTAGGTTTTCTTTTTTTTTTATGGGGTCTGACTCTATTTCCCAGGCTGGTATTGAATTCCTGGGCCCAAATAATCCACCTACCCCAGCTTCCCAAGCCTCTGAAACTATAGGCATGCATCACCACACTTAGCTTTGTTCATGGTTCTTATGTGAAACTCATAATATGGAGGAAGTGGGGTAAGTTGTTAAAGCTTGCCATGTGACACAAATTTGTCATCAGTGTAACCACCAGTCCAATGACCTTGGTGCTAGAGGCTTGTTTGCTAGCTGGCCTCCATGGGAAGAACTCCGGAAACCAGCCCAGATGCAGGGAATCCATGCCCAGTGTAGAAGCCATCCTGGGAAATGTCCCTTGTGGCCCTGGGGATCTCCCTATGCTGGCTTTGGGACAGGGAATGGCTGACAGCCAGGCTGTATCCTGGCTCAGTGCCAGAGTGGGATAGATGGTCTGTAAAATGAGAAACTTGGGTTTCAGGGTAGGGTTTCTGTCTTATACAGTAGAAAATTTGGAAAAGTTACTGCACAATCCTAAGCTGATTCTCACTAACAGACCCATCAAGGGACCATACTGATTGTCATGTGATAAAGACACTTGAGAGCTAATGAGTGTAGACAGTTTGTAAAAATAAATTGAAATCCCATCAGTTTTTATAAGATTCCTAGAAATCAGTGCTCTATATGCACCCCAAAAGTCCCCGATAAAAATGTACCATCACAGGGGTGGGTGGGAGTGTGTAGTTAAGTGGTAGAATGCTCACCAAGCATGTGTGGAGTTCACGGTTCAATCCCTTGTAACTCCCCCACTCCCACTCCCCCAAAAATGTAATCACTCTAAGAAAGCAATGGTATAAGTACTTTGTGTAATGTCCTGATAGTGTATTTCTGTCTTCATCTGAGTGAACCAGCCTTGTTGAAGCGTTTATTTTGGTAATGATCTTTGCCTGCCTTTCTCGTACAGGAGTCAACAGAACCTCTAGAGGAAGAAGTCTTATTGGTAAGAACAATGATTCCCCTCCAATCACTGGAAAAGGAGTTTCAGTGGAACCAGGCCTTTCTGTGGACGAGTTTTCTACGTTTGTCCTCACTGGGAAGCTGACTACTGTCTTTCTCCCAGTTGTCTACACAATTGTACTTGTGGTTGGCTTGCCCAGTAATTGCATGGCCCTCTGGGTCTTCCTTTTCCGAACAAAGAAGAAGCACCCGGCTGTGATTTACATGGCCAATCTGGCCTTAGCAGACCTCCTTTCTGTCGTCTGGTTCCCCTTGAAGATTGCCTACCACATACATGGCAACAACTGGATTTATGGGGACACTCTTTGCAAAATGCTCATTGGCTTTTTCTACGGCAACATGTACTGCTCCATTCTCTTCATGACCTGTCTCAGTGTGCAGAGGTATTGGGTCATCGTGAACCCCATGGCAAACCCCAGGAAGAAGGCAAACATTGCCATTGGTGTCTCTCTGGGTATATGGCTGCTGATTCTGCTGGTCACCATCCCCTTGTATGTCATGAAGCAGACTGTCTACATTCCAGCTCTTAACATCACCACCTGCCATGATGTTCTGCCTGAGCAGGTGTTGGTGGGGGACATGTTCAATTACTTCCTCTCTCTGGCCATCGGAGTCTTTATGTTCCCAGCCTTCCTCACAGCTTCTGCCTATGTGCTCATGATCAGAACACTGAGGTCTTCTGCCGTGAATGAACACTCAGAAAAGAAAAGGCAGAGGGCTATCAGGCTCATTATCACTGTCCTGGCCATGTACTTGATCTGTTTCACTCCTAGTAATCTTCTGCTCGTGGTACATTATTTCCTGATCAAAAACAAAGGCCAGAGCCATGTCTATGCCCTGTACATCATAGCCCTCTGTCTATCCACCCTCAACAGCTGCATCGACCCCTTTGTCTATTACTTTGTTTCACAAGATTTCAGGGATCAAGCAAAGAATGCCCTCCTTTGTCGAAGTGTCCGCACCATGAAGCAGATGCAAGTATCCCTCACCTCAAAGAAATTCTCCAGGAAATCCAGTTCTTACTCTTCAAGTTCAACCAGTGTTAAAACCTCCTATTGAGTTTTCCAGCTCCACAGGTGGAAGCCATCAGTATAAGCAGCTTTCCCTGTTTGCATGAGAAAAGTCCCCTGCACTAACATAGATGACAGTGTCAGAAGGCTGCTACTCAGAAGTCCCAGAAACTGATCTGACAGAAGCAGACATTTTAGGAGGGGGGTCCATTGTAACCTTGTTAGGGCTGGAGGGCCCTGGGAGAGAATCAGTCCTACTGACTGACTTTACAGAAAAGGAAGATGGGGACATACTGGTGAAGTAGTCGCCAGGAGTCAGATTTCCAATCAGTAACAGTGAGCTTGGATTGGACAAAGAAATCAAATGTTCGGTGATTTGCATTCTTGTGTCACTTCATCAGAATCATTGGGGATCTTGTTAAATGTACAGGCTTCCTCAGCCTCAGTAATGAGAGCTCAGACAGTGGGAACAGGGCCGTTTTCCAAACCCTTGTGAGGTTTAAGCACACCAAGGTTTGAGAACCCCTGGTCAGAGTGCTACATCTTCTTGACAAGGTACCATGACAGTTCCTAAAGAGAAAAGCCAGAAAGAATGTTTTGTGTCTCTTTATGTTCAGCTTATAAGGAAATTTGCCTGTTGGATTACTGAGATTTTCAGTCATTTCGTTATTAATCCTTGAACTTTTGTGTGTCTCATTATTCAAGAAAAATGTAAAGAGGATCTTAAACATGTGAATGCAAAGTTTGTATAACTTTTTACTGACTTCAGTCTGATTAATAGACTGTTTAAAATTAAGAATAACATTTACCACTTAGTATTTTTAAAACTCTTGTTGGAATACTTTTTGTCAGTTTTGTTCACTTTGAACAAATAGAAAATTGCAGAGCCTTCACAGGGTTTGAATCACATCTGTTTGGAAAATAGCAGGAACGTGCAAGGTTTTGCAACACATTTAGGAGGCACTGAACTCCAAATAGACTTTATATACCTGTTGTATTTGTGACTGTAAAAAATTATTTTATTGTATGATTGGTTTATAAATAACACCTGGGTCTTTTTTTTACAACTTATTTCTTAGCTGTGTGTTTATTTGTCTGTTTGAATTCAGGAATGGGAGAAGGAAAGCAACGAAGAAAAGATGTGATGCTCTCACTTGTTTCACTTTTGTTTTTGCAGTGCTAGGGACTGAACCTGCACATTCACACCATATTTCTTACATAAAAATTCAGTATCAGTTGTTCTTCAAGGACCGTTTTTCATTTAATCATCTGTTTTAGAATGCTTTCTACACCTGCGCCTACAGATTCACCTCCACTGACACATACAGAGTGGTTAGAATTTTGGTTATATTCCAATGTGTTTAGTCATTTCCTTACTTGGTAGCTCCTGACATTGTGTCTCCCCCCTCCCACCACTTTTGGCTATTAAAACAGTACTGCATTGTATGTCTGTGTACAGACTTCTCTAGAGTAGTTTTGTAGGGTAAATTTCTGGAAGTAGAATGGCCTTTTTGAAAGTTGGATGCCTATTTTCGGTCTGGAGGTGTTGAGCACTTGGCTGGCTGAGGTCCTGGGTTAGATCCCCAGCAGAGTGTGGTGGGTTAGATGCCTATTTTAAATTTTGAAAAATTTTGCCAAGTTGCTCTCAGTAATTTATACTACTCCCACAATAGTACACGTGCAGCTGTTTCTTGAAATGCTCATCCATACTCCAACTTTTGAAATTTTGCCAGTCTGACTGAAGGAAAAAAGTCTCATTGTTTTAACTTGTACTGAAGAAGCAGCACAGCCTGGTGGCTGGCTTCTCAGCTTTCTAAATGAGGATAATAGTGGCTTCCTCACAAAGTTATGAGGATAAAATATGGGCCATCTTTACACACTCACAAATATTCTACAGCATTATTACTTTTGCAATACCTCCTCTCCCATCCAAGGGTTTCTGTAGTCTGGTTACCCTTCGTCAAGCTGTGATCTGAAAATATTAAATGAAAATTCAAGAAATAAGCAAATCATAAGTTTTAACTTGCACACTTTTCTGAATAGCATGATAAAATGTTGAGCTGTTGCCCTCATGCATCATCCCTTTGTCAGGGAATCCAGGCTGTGTGCACTGTGCAGCTATGTTTCAGTTATAAGATGCACTGTGGGTTATCAGTGGTGTTTCCCAGTGCTTGTATTCAACTAACCCTTATTTTACTTAATAATTGCTCCAAAGTGACTGCTTCTTTTAAGTGAAATGGTAAAGTCTAATAAGATTTTAAGTGAGATGAGACCATCTTCACATAAATTTTATTGCAGTATTTATTATGTATTCTAAATTTCATTGTTATTGTTAGTTTCTTCTGTGCCTAATTTATAAATTAAATTTCATCACCAGTATGTGTGCAAGAAACAGACATATCTATGGGGTTTGGTGCTACCAGCAATTTTAAGCATTCAATTCAGATCTTGGGATATATCCCCTAATGATAAGGGGCCTGTGAAGTTGTCCAGATCTTTTTTATTTTTGGCAGTACTGGGGTTTGAACTCAGAGCCTCACGCTTGTTAGGCAGGCTCTTTACACTTGATGTCTTAGCGTTCTCACCTGTAAAGTGGGGATGACATCTACTCAAAAGGTCCTGTGAGCAGTAAATAAGACTCCCTTTATAAATTACCCAAGTGGGGTTGTTGGCTGTGTAGGCCTCCATAGAGCAGCTGTTCTAATTAAATGGGCTATTAGAAGCCAGAAGGAATGACATGGGAACAGAAGTCAGAGAAAGCATAATTCCTTGGGGGAGGAAGCAGAGTGGAGCTGGGTAAAGTGGAGGATGAGTTAGGGGTTCTGGAGAGGAGCGGGGACTCATCCTGCACAGGGAGGCACCTCATTCCTGGCTAAGGAACTGGGCTTGACCCATTGGGGAGGACAGCATGGAGGCTCACCCACCCAGCGTGCTCTACCACATCACCCCCAGCTATTCTTGAACACATTGACTCTCTAGATCCTTGTAAAATTCCCAAACATTGCCTTTTACTCTTTTTTTTTTTTGTGGTACTGGGGTTTGAACTCAGGGCCTTCACCTAGAGCAACTCTACCAGCCCTACTTTTGTGATGGTTTTTTTCGAGATAAGGTCTCATGAACTATTTGCCCAGGGTTGGCTTCAAACCTCGATCTTGCTGATCTCTGCCTCCTGAGTAGCCAGGATTACAGGTGTGAGCCCCTGGCACCTGATGGTTGTCCAGTTCTTAGAGGTGAGAAACAGAACAATGGACACAGGAGAAAAGGGTTCACAGAGGCTCTGCAGGCCATCTATGAGCTGACCTGATGGGGGAAAAAAACAACTTTTGCTACTTTATTAGTCATTTTTACAATCCATATTGATGTTAAAAAAAGTCAAACTGAACAAAAATATATAAAATGAAAATTTTCTTGCCATGCACCAGTGGTTCATGTCTGTAATACTAGCTACTGGGGCACAGATCAGAAGGATCACAGTTTGAATTCAGCTCTGGCAAATAGTTCGTTTGACCCTGGCTCCAAAATACACAACACACAAAAAAGAGCAGGTAGAGTGGCTCAAGTGGCAGAGGGCCTGCCTAGCAAGTGTGAGGCTCTGAGTTCAAGCTTCAGTGCTGCCAAAAACATTCTTTTGCTCATTCTTATACCCTGACAAAACTGATTTTTCTAATAATTTGTTTATAGACAATATATGTATATTACAGTCAAAATAACAATGACTGTATACATACATATATGAGTATATATTTTAACTTCTAAATCAGTTCATACGGATCATAATTTTTTTTAACACATTCAGTATCCCCCCTTTTTTGTTTTGTTTGTTTTGTTGAGACAGAGTCTAGCTATGTAGCCCAGGCTGACCTCCATCCTCCTACCTCTCAGCCTCCTGAGTGCTGGGATTACAGGTATGTACCACCACCCGTGGCTCCTCAATTTTAACCACCAGAGAGCATTCTACACATGGATGATCCAAGGTTTACTTAGAAGTATGTGTTAAAGAAATCATTCTTTTCTTGGTTCATTTTCATAAAGTCTTTGAATGTACATTAAAAAATGGGGATATAGCTTGTTGGCATAGGTGCTTGCCTAGCATGTGCAAGACCCTGGGTTCAGTGCTCAGCACCATACACATTAAAAAAAAAAGTGAAAGAAATGATTTGTACAATGAAATGAGAACATTTGGTGGTACAAAATCTTTTCACAGTTGTTTCTTTTACCTTTTCAAGGTATTTTAGGAAACCTGGTCTACCTGAATTGGCACCTGGAATGGAGATAGGAGAGAATCTGGTTTATGAACAGAATACCTTGGATGTGACTGTCTTTGCTCTTGTGTTATGTGTTATACAGTGTGATTTTCCTGAAGGATCTGAGTCATAGAATACCTGAAAATGGGACTGTTTTGCCCTCCATTGGTTCATTTACCAGAGCAGACTCTTAATTTGAAAGTGAATGTTTATTGCTGTCCTGCTGTCCAGAATGCTTAGCTGACTTGATTGGAGTTATCTTACTGAGTATTTCCTTGTGAGTCACTTAGGTTGTTTATTGCTGGAGTTTCAGACTTGTAATTAATTTCCTGGTTATCAAGATTTCATAAGCCCTGGGGCTATAAGCTCATTAGTATGCATAGCTCAGCAATGACAACTTTGCTTCTGAAACTAACTTTTTGTAGGCTGTGATGGGGATGGAATATGTCACAGAATCAAAGCAACCACTGCTGAGCCCAGGTTTTCACTGGGAGTTTGGATGGATGTCTTTTCAAAGTGAAGTTACTGATTCCACATGCATGAAAGGCATGAGTCCCAGTCCTCCCCTGAGCCGGGTTCCAAATAAAAAAATCCTTAGGGATCCAAGGTCAAGTCCTTCCATGTCATTCAAGCTTTGGAACTTCACAGAGATGGTTGCTCGATTTTAAAATGTAAATATTTGGAGTAGTTCAGACCACACTAAGGAAATACCTCCATTGAGGGAAAAGGTATGAAGAACTCTGAGGTTGGATCTGAGCTGTTCTTGTCTCTACCTGTTGGCAAATCTGGATGATTTCCTAGGTCTGTTTTTATTGG